CCGAATCAGGGTCATTAGTGCCTATATTATCGTTATCTGGGGATCTGGAAGAAGGGAAAATGTGCATGTGTGAGAGGAAAATATCCACACGAAATAATCAAGAATTAAATTCGAGGGAAAATGGAAATGAAGTTTCGAAATGAAGAAGATAGACAATGAATTCAAAATGAAATAAAGGAAAATTTGTTTGCCATGGGAAAAGAAAAATGCATCTTTTATTGAACTTAAACATAATGTTTATTAACCCTTACAAAAGATCACCTATTGCCCCGGGTATAGACAAATAGGGATAGTTTGAATATTACTCTGAAAGACTCTTGTAAACCACAGGTAGTTCTTCGACCGACCAACGACTAGGCACGAACCCAAGTGGCAGAGGGCATATCCCAGATCTAACGACGTCGTCAGCGTTTCCAGTGATTACAGCATTGACACTCAGATCTTCCAAATCTGTTTCTAAATCTGACAAGATGGTCTCAAATACATAACCACCTAACTTGAATATGTGACAAAGAGGTGGGAATGTCATGGGCTCCCATTGAAGTTCATTTCCAGTCAGCCTTGCTAATCTCCTCTCCCGGTTCTTCTGAACTTCTTCTCTTCTGAAGGTAATTGGGCTGAAAGCCGAGCCCAAACCGGTCTGGCTTTGAAATATGAAGGATTGGATCAATCCTCTATTGTAGAAACTTCCCAAACCCTTTTTCAGTCTTGGCATCTCATCCCAATGTTTGCATGATCTCCATTCTGGTACACTTGGAAATCTGGGGTCCAGGAATTATTCTTCCTTCGGCTACAAAGGTGGCATTCACAAATTCTAAGGAGCGGAATGAACACTTCATCGCTTCCTCATCCACCTCGATGTATGGGGCCTCCGTGGTCACACTTGCCACAATATCTTCCTCAGCATTGATAATTACTAAGGCCCCGTTCGTTAATGACACCTCAATTTACACCTAAATAGTAGATGATGCTTTTCTTTTGATAGTAGAAGAACTTTCTTGTGGTCTGGGTAAAATTCCTGGTGAAATAACCACCTGTGGGGTTGGTGATGTGGTTTCCCCCTCGGAGGGACTTCCCCCTACTACACTAGCTTGCTACAAACCCGATAACTTGGCCACGATTTGGTCGACCAAGGACTCCTGGTTTTTCTTGATGGACTCCAGGGTGCTCTGTCTGTTTTGAGCCATCTTATCTTCTAGTTTTTTATAGTCTTGTCATGTTCTCCTCGAGTTTTTTCATTCTGGCCTCCATTTGTCTCTTCTTTGCTCGAGTATTGTGCGGGTGATGCGTATTTAATGATTGCGGTGGTAAACTTGGTGTTTCCTCTTTCTCTTGTAAAAACATGGAAAATATGAAAATAAAAATGCAAAGTATGTAATGCGTGATGTATGTAATTTATAGGCATTGATCCAGAAAAGTGTCCATTATTATAAATAATCCTTATTCAGGCAAAAATGTTTTATCTTGTAAGAGACATAAAAACAATCAAAGGTATGTTTGGACTAAATCTTCTAGACATCCATCCGAGATACTTTCTTCCATGACTCGGCTACTTCTTTGATCATCTTCTTATAACTGTCACCGTGATACATAAACTCTGATGTAGATAATCCATATGTTGCTGGGACAAACTGACGTGTCCCATACTGTCTAAGTGCCAACAACGGAGCATACCCAACTGCACCCCAAAGTCCAAATAGGGTCATAGTGTCAGAATTCCCACACTTGAAAAGAACATCACTGAGGAACAACCAGGGGGCTCTCCAGGTAATATCCCGGTCCTGAAGATGCGTGAAGACCTTCATCCATTTTTCCTTTGTAGCACATTCATGCTATTTCATAGTGATGAACTCTTCCAAATGTGAATAGGTGGTGCTAAATAGGTGGTAAGCAACCCCGTTAGTCTTCCAGAAGTGGCTGTGAATCCAGACTTGAAGGAACTGAACACACCCAATGAACCTTCCTCCACCAGTTCTTCTGCAATGATTAAGAGAATGAAAGGTCTCGGCTAAGATGGTTGGTGCTGGGTTGACTCGCTTTGGAAGTTATTCAAATAGTTCCACCATGACTGCGTCGATGCACCCCAAGGTCTTCGGAAAGATAATCAAATCGTACAAACCCAATGCAAAAAGATCTATAGTCTTCCATTCATCAGGGTGGTTCTTCATTAGTTGCTTTATGTGGATCCATTCGATTCCTTCCCCCACTACCTTTGTTTCGGAATCTATCAGTCACCCACTTTTCATCAACTCCTGCAATCTTGGCCAGTCCGTTCTTGAAAGACTGACTCTTGATGTGTTTGATATATGCCCTCTCTAGTCTGATGCTTTCACAGTGCAGTAATGTAGTATACTCTTCGATGGTGGGCACCATGTCCTCCCGGTTAAAAGTGAAGCAACTGTATCACGGGTTCCAGAATTAAATCAATGCCTGATTAAGGGCTAATCGGTCTTAACATGAAGAAAAAGTGCAATGTCACCATACCGCTGACTGAACTTCTGTTTCCGATCATTCTTCCAACTGTCCCAAATGTCTCGAAGTTCTTGCACATTGTTTTGTTTTAGGCTGAAAGAGGCGTAGTTAACCAGCTCTGACACATAGTTTCCGTAAAGACTGTCTCCCTCTTCCTTCTGAGTCTTCTAGGACCATAGTCGTACCTCGGGGTTTTTAATCTCTTATATTACAACACCTTTTTCCATTAATTCAGATTATTTTGTGTGTAATAAATGCTTTTTAAGGATCAATAGCCTCTTGTTATGATGCAAATGCTAAAAAATAAACACAAAGGTAAAAAAGGTTAGTAAAATAAAAATAAATAAATAAATGACGAAAGAAAAAAAACAAAAAGATATGTTTCAGAATGTGGTTTCGGGGTAGGCTCTAATTCTCCATAGTCTTCCAGTTTAGGTTCTAAAAAACGGTACCCGAGTTCTCCTTACCGGTGCCCCCTTGGGCTTGCCAGACCCTTAGTTCTAAACTCATCACAGGTTTGTGTGGACTAAGTTAAACTCGAGATGACACATTCCCTTATGACTATGCGGAGAATAAATTCACACGAAGACACGAGGTATATGAATCCCGAAGGCTACTTACTAGGCATATGCAGTGAATAAATTCACACGAATACGTCGCTTTCACCCCACTTAAAACGGGTTCGGAGCTCGAGTATAGAGCCTTTAGATGAAAAAAAAAGTTCTGGAAGCTGTAATCATTAGAAAACGGTCAGTCAACTATTTACTCGAATAAATATAACCAAAAGTAAGCAATAAGGATCGAAATGTTACCTTGAAATTTAAACTTAACCTTTTCATTAAAAAGACAACTGAGAATTACCTTAGCCTGACTCGCTTATTTGTCCCCAGCGGAGTTGCCAAGCTGTCGCAACAGTCTTTCGGTTGGGCCCCAGAATTGGGCTTCGACTTAGGAAAATTTGGATTGGAGTCGCCACCGACCACTTTAAAACGAATTTAGGTGGGTCGGACACCATTTTACCTGATCTGCGTTGTACCAGAAACGTGTCAAGTTCGGGAGTCGGCTACGGTCAAGGAAGGATTAGCACCCTTGAACCGCCCTTTCGGTACCACATAATTTTCAGTTGTCTTAAATTAAAAAAAATTGTAATTTTAAATAAAAAGGTAAAATTTGATCCTGATTACTTACCTTAGATTGATTTGAAAATATCCTTAAAAATCGAGAAATGTGTTAGATAAACAAGGTAAAGAAAACAAATAAGATAAAGAGAATAAAATAAAAGGAAAAATAAAAATAAATAAATAAGATAAGGAAAAAAATAGTAAAGTAATAATTATATATAGTAATATTTGAAAAAGGAAAAAAATTATATATATATATATATATACATCAAAGTATTAATAAAATAAATAAGCTATATATATATACAAAAAATATTTAAAAATAGAAAAGCTACCCTCTCACTTCACCGAAAGTGGGGGGTTTTAGTCAGAAATAAGACAAAAAGAGGAAAGTGGGAGAGACTTTAGTTAGAAATAAAACAAAAAAATTGGCCCTCTAAGTTAGTAGTATATAATATAATGTTTAATAATAATAATGATAAAGACACAAGATTTTTTTTTTAAAATAATATAATAATGAATAAAAAAATGAAAATAATAAAAAATAATATATATATATATATATATATATAGTTATAAGATATATTACGTAATAAAGAAATAATAAAATAAAAATAATTAAGAATATATATATATATATATATATATATATATATATATATATATATATAGGTATATAAATAAACTATTAAAAGTATAAAAAAATATATAACTAGATAAAGATAATTACAATATATATAGTAATAATAGACTTATAAGTAAAATATTAAAGAAATATATATATATATATAATAAAATATAGTAAAAAAATCAAATGAAAATAATTTAAAATATATATATACGTATAATAATAACATGAATAATAAAAATAAATGAATAAAATATCCATATAATAAATAAAGGGACTAATATAGATTTGTAAAAAGCTCTTCCCCTCCTTTAACCGAAAATCAAATCGGTTTTTCAAAATAAGCCTCGGGGAAGCGTAGATCTAAGAGAAAAGATCTCGGTTCCCTTGTGTTCATCGGCCCTTTCAAAGTAAAAACGGAAAAGAATAAGTGAAACAAACCACATGCAAACGAGAATCGAAGCAATATAGGTAAAAATACCTCTTTTATTTCTCTGTTGAAAATTACAAGCGAATCTTTGGGGCTTATTGCATATTTGCTTTGGGTATTTTTGTGTGTGCGTAATCCCGTATGATAATCGTGTCCCCTAGTGTGGTAATTACAAGGCTTATTTATAGTACTAAACACCCTATTTTAGACTAGTATTTGAGTCCTAATCCAACTCTATTTTAGACTAGTATTTGAGTCCTAATCCAACTCTTATTTTTCGATTACATGAAGACTCATCGGTTGGCAGGACAAAATTTGGTGTCTTCACACACCAAAAGGATAAGTGGCAATAACTTTTACTAAACCTTCTGTAGAAGCATCTCTGCAATGCCAAGTGGTGAATGTAAGTGATTCAGAAGAGAGACCAGAAAATTTGTGGGTTCTACCAATATACTCTTATCATACAAACATGTACCTACCGACAAGCAGAGTTAGTGAGAGATTTTTCACTCCCTTCTCTCTAGGTTTTCTTCTTTGAGATGGGTCAATGGTTGGTTTGAATGGTTCCTTCCATGGTTTTTCATGGATCTTTGGTTGTCGAGATCCTTGTTTGGGGCTCAAAACGGTCATGGTTACTCAAAGTTCGGTTGATTATTCATCAAGTTCCTAGATTATTAGGATTTGATAGTTGCTCTATAGTCAAAAGTCTTTCTCGGTGTTCTTCTTTAGCGGAGGAAGTTGGAGGTAAAAGTTATTTTTGTTAACATTGTAGTTTCTTACCCGAGATTTATGTTTTGTAGGATCTTCTCAAGGGATATTGGCGATGGAATAATGTTGAGAGAGGGAATGTAGCTTATGGGAACATTCGATATTGGTTTGTTGGGAAAGGGATCTTTAAGGAAGATGAGGTAGTGTGGAATAATGAATGGGGAGGGTTTTGGTGTATGAGAGGTATGGAAAATTTGGAACTAGGTAAAGAATTCGAGTCAGAAAAAGAAGTAAGTTCCGTTCAAGGGAAAGAAGAAGATGATCGGAGCCGGGTGTACAATAGCACAAGGGGAGAAATTAGAAAGATTGGAGGTCATTATACGTTAATTACTGCTAGTGTACGGAAACACAACCAGATTAGGGGGTGGTTTGTTAAAGTTCAGCAGGACATTAAAGGAGATAGCGTGGGGTGGCTTGAACTTGAGGTGATTTGTTGTAGAAGGATTCATCATTCAAGGGAAGTTTGGAAATTTGTGTTTGAAGGGTCAAATCAAGAACCCATCATTGTTTGGATTTTAGGTGGGATTCGGAGATTTCTTTGGAAGTATTTTAAATGGAAGTATCTAAGGAGATTCAAGAATGATATAGGGTCTTGTCATGTGGGAGAAAAATTTTATTATGTGTCTCGTTGGAAGCAGAATGTTCAGCAGGACGGTATTTCTCAATACAGTATGGGAATGGTCTACTCGATATACTGTTCGGTTCAGACAGTAGGTGAAAGTAGCTGGGATCAGGTATGGGGCGGGATTTTGAAGTCATGTCGAGCAGAGCAAGTTGAAAGTTGCGGCGGCTACAGTACGGACAGGTCTAAAAGTTGGGAAATATGTGGGAGATCGATTATTTTTGGGGAAATGATTTATTCACATATGTCAATTTTGGGTGATATTTTGGTTGGATATCTTATTTTAAAGAGTCTATTTAGAGTAGGCAGAAGGTGTAAGAGGGGAAAGTCACATCGGAGAGCTTATAGTCAATTCGGTGGGGTTGTTAGATAGGAAAGGAAAAGTAGGCTAAGGGGAGAGAAGGTTGTTCTTTCTTACTTCACTCTCAATAGAAAGTTTACTGCCATTTTCTTTGTTCTTCGAAGTAACTCTAACAAAAAAAGGGAGTAGGAGTGGTAACTTGATTTCTCACGCGGTTGCTCATTCTACTAACACAATGTCTGAAGAGGTTGCGAATCTTATGAAGCATTTGTGATTCACTGAAGAGGGATCGGAGGATATCTCTCCACTAAGGGTTATTACTGAAGATGATGTGGTTGAAATGGACAAATGGATTGTAGCGAAGATAATTGGGTTAAAGAGAGTGGATAGCGAGGTGGTATTGAGTGTCTTTCGTTCGATTTGGTGCCATGCTAGGCTCATGGACTCAAGCTTTTTGAAAGATAATATGTTCGTGTTTAAGTTCAAAACAATCTCGGACAAGCAAGCGATTTTGAAAGGCACCCCATGGAGTTTTGAAGGTACTCTCTTCGCAATCGCTCACTTTGATCCTACTTTAAGTCTTGAAGAATTCGATTTTAGGCCAGTTGTTGTGTGGGTTAGAATTTATGAGCTTCTTTTGGGGTTAATAAGGATCAAGACGGCGGAAAAGATCAGTAATAAGATTATAAAGATAATTACTACCGACACAAGGTCGGGAGAAGGAAGAATGAGCGACTACCTTCGCGTAAGGGTGGAAATTGACTGCACTAAGTCGTTACGTAGATGTGCCAAGATGGGGGTGCTTGCAAATGGGCAACCGAGGAAATGTTTGCTAAAGTATGAGCGTTTGCCGGTATTTGGTCATAGATGTGGTGTTATTGGACATGTGCTTACGGAATGTCCGGGTTTCTCAGAGCATCTATAGCAGCCGCTCCAGTTTGGAGAATGGCTCAGAGTGTCGCCTATGAAGCGGGCAGAAGCTAGCAGCAATAGAAGAAGAGATGGGATTATTTATGTTGAAGGGGAAAATGACGATAGGTCGATGAGAAGTTCAGCGAATAGCCCACTATCGAATCATGTTGTAAGGAGTCCCCGAGGTAGACCGTGGTTGCCAGGAAGAGATTTGTTATATTCTTCCAACTCTAATCAGGAGGATAACTCTGATCCGACTGACCCCTTAGGATTGGATAGCTCCCTTTCTCGAACGTTCCTGGGGGTTTTATGGTTCGTGAGCGAGAGTTTTTGAAGGAGAAATAGTCAAACTATGAACCGAGTGTGAGGGCTATAGTAGGTTCTTCTAGCTCAGGGAAAAGAAAGAACGGGGAGCCAAATAAAGGGAAAAAGAATATTAAAAGGGTGAACCGGCAGACGGTGCATATTTCTGACTCTACTTTAAATTCTAAAGTAGGTATTAGTGTGGAGGAGGAACCAAGCGAATTACCAGAGGAATATGCGGGAGATGCTTTAGTTGCGGCGGAGGCTGAGGTTCAATCTCGCCAGGAGTCGTGACGATCCTGTGTTTGAACTGTCGGGGGCTTGGGAACCCCGCGACAGTTCGAGCGCTTAGGAGATTGATCTCCGAAAAGAACCCGATGTTGGTTTTTGTTTCTGAAACTAAGTTGCGGAAAAATAAGATGGAGGCTTTAAGATTGGCTACAAAGATGTTTGGTTGTTTTTCAATGGAAAGAGCGGAAGATTGCGTGGGCTTAATGATGCTTTGGAAAGAGGGTTTTGATGTCTCGCTTCAAAGCTTCTCTAACCTACATATTGATGTAGAAGTTCTTTAGATGGAGTAGAAATTCCGGTTTACGGGGTTTTATGGGCGCAGTGGGTGGTCGGATAAAAAGCATAGTTGGGAGATGATTTCTCATTTGGCTTCTACCTCTTTACTCCCTTGGTGTTTGGGATGAGACTTTAATGAAATTATTCATCCAGACGAGAAGAGAGGGGGTCGAAAACCGGTGAGGGTATGGAGGAGTTCCAGCCTTGTCTTCGTGGAGCCTATTTATGGGACATTAGACCTAAGATTAGTTGGCTTTCTTGGGCTAATGGTACTCGAGCTAAGACGTTTGTGTGCGAGAGAATTGATAGATTTATTGCGAAAAATGACTGGAGGCTCTTATTCTCGGAGTGTTATGTGGAAACGGTTCCGACGGCATCGTCTGATCATTCTGCGATCTCGTTGAGCTTGGAGGGTGCTATTACGAGTTGCTCGCCTAGGAGGGATTATTTTAAATTTGATACGTGTTGGGCTAATGAAGATCAATGCTGGAATATTATGAATCAGTTTGGGAGAATAATAAAGATTCTTTCTCGGTTAAAGTGGGGAGGATAGGGGCCATGCTAGGAGATTGGCAGAGAGCGAGAATGAGTCAAGCGAAAAGGGACGAGAGGCGCTTAAGGAGTTATATTCTTAGGCTTGATTCAGGTGCAGTCTCTGATGAGTCTTGTGATCAACTTAGGAAAGCTCTTGTGGATCTTAAGGATATTATGGATAAAGATGAGAAGTTTTGGCTTCAAAGATCCCGTGTTGCGTGGCTTAAGGATGGGGATCGTAATTCTTCTTTTTTCCATGCAAGAGCTAATGGGCGTCGCAAAAAGAATTGGATCGAGGGGTTGGAGAGTGAAGGGGGGGTTTGGAGCGAGAAGTTGGAGGATATTTTTTGTGTTGTTACAAGCTACTTTTCCTCTCTCTTTCGTTCTTCCGAAGCGGCTCCCGACGAGGAGATTCTCCAAGCCATTGCTCGATGTGTTTCGCCTAGTGATAACGAGATACTTTGCCGAGACTTCTCTGCTGAGGAGGTCACCATTGCTCTTTCTCAAGTTAATCCCTCGAAAGCTCCTGGATTCAATGGCCTTTCAGGTCAATTTTTTCTTTCTTTTTGGAATATTGTTGGATGTGATTTTGTTAATCTTTGTCTTAGCCTTTTGAATGATGCGATGGATTTTAATTATGTTAACCGTACTATTATTGTTCTTATTCCCAATGTTACTAGTCCAAAATTAATGAAGCAATTTAGATCGATTAGCTTATGCTCGGTCATCTATAAAGTTGTGTCAAAAGCTATAGTTAATTGCCTTAAACCATTGATGCATGTTTGTGTTGCCGAGAACCAATGCGCGTTTGTCCCTGGTCGTCGTATATCCGACAATTTTTTAGTGTCTCATGAACTTATCCATTATCTTAAGGGGTCTAAGAATGGCCCCAATAAAGGCGCTGATATTAAGTTAGATATGGAGAAAGCTTATGATAGAGTGGAATGGGGATTTTTGTTCGATGTTATGCTTCAGATGGGTTTTAGTAGTTCCTTTGTCAATCTTATTCGGAAGTGTATTCTACGGTCTCTTTCCAAGTGCATATTAATGGTATGTTATCTGACTCTTTCATTCCTCAGAGGGGTCTCCGACAAGGAGATCCCTTATCTCCATATATGTTTCTGTTTTGTGCTCAGGGACTTTCTGCTTTACTTCTTAAGGCCCAAAAGGAGGAAAGAGATTAAGGGCATTAGAGCGAGCATGAGAGAGCCAAGGATTACTCATTTGTTGTATGCAGATGATAGTTTGCTGTTCGTGAAGAATTCGGTTGCGGAGGTGCGCAAAGTAAAGAGTATATTGGCTCAGTATGAGAAGGCTTCAGGGCAGAAGTTGAACTATGAGAAGTCCAGCATTTTCTTCAGTCCAAATACCCCTGGTATGGATAGGAGGATCTTTTTTAGTGAGTTATGAGTCGTTGAGGCCCCGAACCCATGGAATTACCTTGGCCTTCCTCTTGCAGTAGGGAAAGGAAAACGGGCGGCTTTCAACTTTATCAGAGATAAGACAGAGAAGAGGATTCAATGTTGGACTAAGAGACTCCTTTCTTTTGGAGGACGAGAAGTCTTCATCAAGTCTGTGGTTCAGGCTCTTCCCGCATATGCCATGACATGTTATCTTCTCCCGGATGGTGTTATTGATGATATTAAGTCTCAAGCTAGATCTTTTTGGTGGTCTGGGAAACAAAATACCAGAGGTTGGCCGATGGTTGCATGGGATAAGATTTGTCGTTCCAAAAAATTTGGAGGGATGAACTTCAGGGACCTTAGTCTGTTTAATATTGCGCTTATTGGGAATCAGATTTGGAGACTTATTCAGGATGAACAGTCTTTGGCTTTCAAGGTTCTTAAAGCAAAATATTTCCCGTGCTATTCACTTTTTTGTCGTGCCAAAAAAGCTCTCAATGATGGCTTTTTCTGGAGAGTGGGTATGGACAGCAAGGCTCGCATGTTTGAGGATAAATGGGGGGACGCTTGTCCTATTCGTTGGAACGAAAGATATATGGATCATGCTGACCAGCCGGTTAGAGTTGTGGATTTTATGATTCCAGGGTGTGCGAGGTGGGATGAACAGAAGGTGGTTAGAGTGCTACGGACGGAGGATGCTTCGCAAGTTCTTAGAACGTTGATAGCCCCGGCCTGGGGTGACAGAATTATGTGGGGTCATCATAGTTCAGGATGTTACTCTGCTAAGTCGGGCTATAATTGATTGAAAATTCAAAATAGCCCGTCTTTGATTATGGAAGGCATTTGGAACGTTGTGGCTAAAGCGAAGGTTCTTTCAAAAATCAGAATTTTTGATTGGCGCATTTGTCATGAAGCCATTCCTGTGGGATCTAAAATCAAACAAGCAAAACTTGGAGATGGCGTTTGCCCTCTTTGTCTTAGTGAGCTGAAATCGATTATGCATGCGATTAAAGATTACCCCAAAGTAAAGATGATTCTTTTGATGTCAGGTCTTCTCTCGGAGATTGTTGATTGGTGAGGAAAATCCTCTCCTTTGGTTGTCATATGCTCAGTCCAAGCTGAATGGTGAATGATTTGAATTGTTTCTTGCTTTACTTTGGAACATTTGGAACCGGCGCAATAATTTTGTTCATAATGGGGAACTGCAATCGGATAGGGACATTATTATCAATTCTTTGAATTTGATTGGGGAGTACAAAATTGCTTCGAATCCTTTAGGGAGTTCAAGTGATGGTGTAGTTCTCCGAAGACCGTGTTTTTGGTGTAAGCCTACCCAGGATGAGGTTAAAATTAATGTTGATGGGGCTTATTGTAAGGCTTCTCGAGTTGCGGCTGTTGGCATAGTGGCTCGGGATTCGCATGGAATGGTTATCAGGGGATTGGCTAAGAGGATTGATCCTCCGTTCACGGCTTAGTCCACTGAAGCAGTTGCTTTTACTGAGGGTATTCGCTTCGCTTCTGAGAATGGGTGGAACAATTCTATTATTGAAGGCGATGCCATTTCGATCGTTTACAGGTTGTCTAATCAGGTCACTAAAAAGACACAAGACATCTCTGCAATTGGATTGTTGCTCAATGAGACTAGACTGATTTTAGCTGACCTCCCTTCGGTTAAAGTGCACTATGTGTGTAGGGAAGCTAACCGAGTTGCCCATTCTTTAGCACAATGGGTCTTATGGAACCACAATCCAATTTGGTTTTTCTTTGACGAACCTGATTATATTAAGCAAGTTGTAATTGATGATGCTATTGGAATATAAGTTTTTATTCCTTCAACAACAACAAAAGTACCTACCGACAAGAAGGATCACGGCATCCATAAGCAGAGGGCCCAAACAGTTCAAACGGGACCCAAAAAAATTCATTTTATAACAATCCTGTGTAGATTGAGAACAATGCCATCATCATGATAACATAGCGACCCCCAAAAATCATTTCAGTGATGTCTCCAAGTTTCTGTTTTGGGTGGTAAGAAAATAAAAATAAAATAAGTACAAGAAACAGTACAATTACCATGAACATGAAGCCCATTGCCAAGGTAACCAAGAAGCTATTCATCATTTACCTGGCTAGAAATTTTTTTCTCTCTGATTATGAAATATGATGTTGCCAAAAGCAGGAATATACCATGGCCCCAATCACCAAACATAACAGCAAAAAGGAAAGGAAATGTGATGATTGTAAATACACCAGGATTTGCTTCCTGATATTTTGCAATCCTGGAGTAATATTAACTTAGGTCAATTCTTTTCCATGATAACTTGGTTTTGAAGTGGTAAAAATAGGCCATAGCAGTAGAATGTCTGCTAAAAACTCTTCTATGACTAAGGAATCCACAGTCAGCGCAACGATTGCCAGATATGAGACAATAGAATTTCAACATAGCCAGTTTATCTCCTTGAATGAAATAGCAGCAACTATCAAATGGACTAACCCATAAGCATCCACGATTTCTTGAAAAGAAGAAGTAAATTTGTTGGTCTGGAAATAGGTAGGAGGTGATTCCTTTGTCTGGAGAACATGAAGTATGGTCCCAATTTGTGAGTTGCTGTCAACAGTTGCCCGCTGCAACTCATTTTGAATCTGCAAAATCAAGCTAGATGATTCATTTTTCATTTTTCAACTTGGTTACTGCAACGAAGCAGGAATGCAATGCAGCAGAGGAGAAAGGATTGCAGATTAAAAAACAAACAGACCTTGTTTGTTGCAAAAACAGGGCACCAACCTTCAGCAACAAGACATTTTCTTGTAACATCTATGCTGAGCATGTTCAAAGTGTGATAAATGGATTTTTCTTCACCTATATAAATTAGAAAAAATGTTCGGTGAGTTAAGAAAGCACAGAGTTCAAGGGAACTTATTAGAAAACTGTAAGTTTCGAGTAGTTTTCTGTTAGGCCATTTTGGGTTTGGGTCATTTCAAGTTCGGACACATTTATGAAAAATGTAACCATTTTATCTTGCTTTTAGAGTTCGGATTCAGGTTTCATTGTCGGGCAATTTCAGGATTATATTTTCTTGAGTTTGGTTTTTTGGACAGGTTTCGGGGTTCACTCCACGACCTCTTAAGATTAAAGCCAGCCACAGAAACTGACAAGTAATCATGTAGATATGAAGTTAATATATAGAAACACATGCCTCAAAAAAGAAGGAAGAAAATCAATTTCAAGAAACCAAATGGCTCCACTGCTCAAAGTGATAGGCAATTGTCTGTAACAAGTTGATCTGGTGCACAAGTCCAACATCAATGGTAGTTTTAAGCTCTCCAAGTCTTCCAGAAACCTACATATGAGAGAGGTTAAATATTCAGCTCTTTATTTGACAAGAACATAATACCAAGATATAGGCCAACAGAAAAATTAAGAACTCCTCTTAATGAGAAAAGCCAACTACTAGTTCCGGCATATAGATTGACTGATTGATGCCATTATACCATAATTGTTTCATATATATGACTCCTGATTCTCCCGAATGTCAAAAGAATATGAAGCATACCTCTGCAATGATCTGATATTGTTTGCCTCGATATTCTGTGAATGGGTATCTGTTTGCTTCAAAAGTTTCACAAATTTTCACAATTTTGTTCTTCATGGTTTCACCAGAATAGAAGACAACAAAAACGTTTTTCTCAGCCTGAAATTGCAAAAAAAAAAAGTAAATGGTAAAGATCTCTCATCTCATCTCTGAACCTAAAACAGATGCAAAACAAGCATGATTAACTGAAGACGATTTCAGAAATACAGAGTTACACACAGAAGTTGCAAATTGACGTCATACAAACAAATCTAACGAGTAAAGACAAAACTAAAAGCAAAATTAAGCACAGATAGAACCATCAGTGAAAGACTCGGAAATTCCAGATCTACAATGGTAAATGGAGGTATTAACCTTCTCCCCAGATGCAGGATCAGTCACAGGACCTTCAACTACAGATTGCTTCAAGAAGAGATTCCCTCTGGTAGCCCAAAATAGAATTCTTTCAAAAGCCAATGATTTCTCTCTAGGGATACTACCACTGACAAATCCCAGCTTAACTTGCTTTGATGGATCAGTGATCATCTCCTACAAAAATAAACCTTACGCATCAGTAAAGAGCAATAAAAGGCATCAGATAAAAATAAGGTAGAAAATGAACCAGCTGAAAATGTACTTGCTCCAATAATAATGGACTGTCTATGGATCCTTCACCCCTTTGCTGAGCTTCAAATTCTCTCTGCTAACGGGTAAAACTAATGTGTTTGACCACATAGACATCTAAAGTGCTAACGTTACTAATGTTAGGTATTTGATAGGCAAAAAAAATAGACACTTATTGAAGACACTAGTTTTTATTTCATTTGTTTTATTTATTATTATTTTGTTTTATTATTATATTATATTATTATTATTAAATAATTAATTAATACATTGCAGGCCCAAAACCTGAGGCCCGTTTTACAAATCCCGGAGCCCAAACATGGAGGCCCGATCAGGACTAGCCCAACAGAGCCCAAATGTGTAACCCTAGATTCAGTTAGGGTTTACATATCATCATCCAGCCACCTCAAGTTGCTGCCGTTGGATCTAGTTTTGATCCAACGGCCAATATGACTCCAGCAAAGAAAACCCTAAGTATTATAACCCTAGGGCCATGTTCAGTCGCCGCCTCTGCCATGTGCCTCGTCCAGCCTCCACGTTGACGATTCAGCTTCCAGCCGCCTCGCCAGAAACCTCCACGCCGCTCTGTTGTTGCCACGACACCAAACGAGGATTCCAGAAGCCAGCTGCCCCCCACACGTTGATGCCCCAGGGTGAGTCACTACATAGTTCGGTGACTCACCGAAATCCACTCTTAGAACCGGTCCGAGATAAGATCCGACGAGGCTATAAAAAGCCATCACCTGCAAGATAAAAGAGGGAGAACAAGCAAGAACAGGAAGCAACCAAAGAAACCAAAAAAAAAAAGAGAAGAAAGGAAACTTACCCTTGGAGCCTCGATCGTCGCCGGAAGCCAAACATCGCCGGAAAACAGAAAATACCAAAGGTATTTTTTTAGATTTACTCCGATTAGGAGTTTTTTAGGGTAAACTAAAGTCAGATTTGACCATAGGAAGAGAAGGCCTTTATTTTCATGTAAAATGAAACTTTCCGGCCACCATCTCCGGTGGCCGACAGCGACGGCAAACGGCTGCCGGCCGATAATCGGCTTCCCTCTGGTGAGGGAAGCTAAAGAGAAGCAAGAGAGTTTTCTTCTCTCTCAGTTAGAGAGAGAAGAAGAACTAAGAGAGAAGAAGAAGAGGAGAAATGAGAGTGTTGGCCCTACGGGCCAGCTATTTGGGGATTATATACCCCATCCAAAACGATGTCGTTTTAGGTGGGGGTATATGCGTAATTTATACGCATGAACAAACCCTTTTCGCAGTCATCTAAACCTTATAACTTTTTATTTTAGTCACTGGAAATTGAATTCTAAGCTTTTAATTTGGTCTCGTAAGTTTATTTTATTATAATTTAGTCATTTCCAGTATAATTATATATTTAGGATAAATATTTTATTTAGTCCCTGGTAATTTTAATTATTTTTATTTTGATCCCTAATAATTAATTAGGTCAAACTACATTATTAATACATATATTTTTAATAATTCGAATTAGGTCTGCAAATTTTAATATTTTACATTTAATAAGTGATGTTTTATATAATTTTATTTTAGTCCCTAAATTAATAAATTGGTAAAATAGCATATCTAATCCCTGTAGTTTTAAATAATTAATTATAAATTAGGTATTTAATTTTATTAGATTATAATTTAGTCCCTAAGATTAATATTTTCATTTATTTTACAAGCTTTACATTTTAATACTATGTTTTAATTTTATTTATTTTAAACATTGTTTAATAATATGTTACTTTTATATATTTATGTTTATATATATTTATCATTACTATTACTATTATTATTTATTAGTTATGTCAATATATATATAAATAATATTTATTAAGTCTTATAAATATATATATAAATAATATTCATTTATTTTATGAAAATACTATTTATAAATTTAATATATTATTAAATCATTTCAATCATATTTTAATATATATTTATCAATATTAAGAAAGGACAGTCTTAAAGCAACTGGATGTCTATTTTCTGATATTTTTAAATAAAAATAAATATTTTAATATATAAATCTATATTATTTTTAGATAAATGTTCTATTAAAATTTATTTATTTTTTAATATTAAGAAATGATCTGTCTTAAAGCACCTAGAAGCCCTTTTCTGATATTTCTAAATAAATAAATATCTTGTTAATAAACTTAACAAAATTATGAATTAAATATATTTGAATTTTTGATAGAGACAATTTATAATTAATAAGTACCAATTTTGGGCGTTATAGGGGTGCTAATCCTTCCCTAAACGTAACCGACCACAAATCCCTTTTTATTAATAAAAAGAATGAATTTTTGGTTATAAACGCAGACCAGTTTATCTTTTAAATGATGTTTTTCTAAAAGCTTTTTTAAAAAATAATTTTTAGGTGTTCGACTTACCTGACCCAAAAGGCCGATGGCGACTCCCAAAACATTTTTTAAATCAAAATCATTTTTTGTCCACATTATTTTTCCTGCCAAGTAAAATTCCGTGCCCGGGCGAAAATCGGTTACGACAGCTTGGCGACTCCACTGGGGATGCCTGATCAAACTTTAAAATCAATTACAAATTGTCTTTATTAATTAGAAATTAAAAATTCATATATTTAATTTATAATTCTTTTCTTTCAAAATTTTATATATATTTATGATTTTTAAAATATTTTTATATTCTTTTTTATTAATTGTTTTTATTTTCTTTTCAGGTATTAAATTTCATTTTTATTTATTTGTTTGTCAGAGTTTTAAATATTTCTTCTCACACACATCACTTGCATTGCATAACATAAGCTTTATAATCAAGCTTTTCCCTTTTAAGTGGGAGTGAAAGCGACGTCTTCGTGAGAATTTATTCTCCGTGTCAGACCTAGCAAGTAGCTTTCGGGATTCATATGCTCTATGTCTTCGTGAGAATTTATTCTCCGTGTCAGGCATAGAGAAGTGTATCCCCTCGAATTGAACTCGATCCACTTTAGTCTATGATGGACTAGGATAGAGGGTTAGTAGCCCAAGGGGGCACTAACAAGGACAATTCGGGTACCTTTACTCCTAGAACTAAAACCCTGCATATAATAAACCCTAGCACTTCACCTGATCTAAGAAGTATTGAAACCCTGTCCATAGGTGTACACAAAGGAGAAATAAACTCTAGCTTTTAATTTATTTAATTTATAAATGCCTGCGAACTAGTAATCATGTTGTTAGGTTAATTTTTCCAAACAAAGCATGGAACTAGAAAGCATGAGGTTAGGATATATTATATACCATGATAGGTAGAATATTTTCTTTTCATTAATTGGTACTTACCAATTTATTTATTTCCTTTCTTATTTTTATTTTTCATACATTTTGTTTTGTTTTAACTTGTTTATATTGATTTCTTTTGTTTTGTGCCTGCATTGCATGATCATAGCATAACCAAAAGGTGTTGACTTGAAAGATTGTTCATCAAATTGGAAAGAAATCATAAATGGACAAAAAGTTTTATGATCAAACAAAATATGATGCTTCCAAGGAAAGACATCCTGAAGAAACTACGAGGATCGAGGGAAGTTCTGTACATAGAGAATCGGTTATATTAATACCAAAAATATTACACAAAGATCCTACCAGATTGATACCAAAAGCAGTCTATGGTAAGAACATCAGTCAAGGCATTCAGAGTAGTGGAGGTTTTTATGAAGCTCAAGCATGTTATTTGAAGGACTTGGACGACCAAAACAAGAAATTGAGCATAGAAATGAAAACTATGCATGAAGATTTTCAGAAGATCAATCAAACCTTTCAAAATGCTGGCCTAGGAAGTACCCCAGAATAGTGGATAACAGGGGTCACCAAGCTGAAAAAGAACTGCAACTTATATGAAGACCTTGTTCAAGAACTTCTTGGACAGAAAGGTTCTCTTACAAGGGAAAATAAGAAACTCCAAGAATTGATGCAGAAGATGAAAGAGAACGTCATGGAAGAAGTTGTAGTCCAGACAAGCAATATGACCCATAAGCTGATAGACCAACCTGACTTTACGAGGAACTGAAGCAGACTGATAATTCAACTATTGAGCATGAATGGAAATTAACTTGGCTTTAGAGAAGTTAGGAGGGGAAGTTATCCCCTATATGTAAAGTTTTGCTGAAGTTAGGACTAAAAGATGTCCCCTATATGTAAAAGTTTTGTTTAATGCATGGAAACTTTTGTGTTCAATGAAATCTGTTCTAAAATGATCACTCTTGAGTAACACCTTTTCATACATGCATTTGCATTTTGCATCTGTACATTTTTACATTTACATTTTTAAACTTACATCATGCATTAAAACATATTTAATTAAACAATAATGTTTATTTATTTTCAATATCTAAGAAAATGACAGTCTTAATATAACTGGATGTCATATTCTGGTATTTTAAATAATTTACATTTACATTTTTACATTTTCATATTTACATTTGGAATCTTTGCATTTATATTTTTATGTTTGCTTTTGTATTGAACAATTTGTATTCTTATTATTACATTCACATATTCACATATTTACATTTGCATTTGCATTTGGCATCTTTGCATTTTTATGTCATAATACATTAAAACATTCATTCATTAAAATAAGGATTTCAACCGAAGTGATCTTGGTTTTTCCTTGTAGCAAGAACGCTTAGCACGTCACAAGAAAAATGTCTAAAGAAACTGAGGATAGGCTAGCCAAATTTGAGATAGAGCAAAAAGAGAGGCATGAAGAATTGAGTAGAAAGTTGGTACAAATTGAAGCTAATATCGCAAATTCTCATACCGATCTACTGAACAATATGAAAGAAATGATTGGGAAGCACCAGACCACTGGAAAGAGTCTTGTTGAAAACCCCACAAATCCTCTGAGTGTTACCCCTGTTCACATTCCTGAGCACACCTCTGTACGTCAGGAAATCCAATCACCAGTTCACTTTACTGTTAAGAACCAACAATATCAGGTTGGAGTTTCGTTCCCCACTGACTGTCTTACTGCTTCTGGGTTAAAGCCAAATGAATTATGTACTACTTCTAGAGAGACGGTTAAGTCATTTTACGAGTTTAACGCCAAAAAACTGAACTTGGTCCCCGACTTAGTTCTCCCACCAAATTTTAAAATTCCAGATTTTGAAAAGTATAATGGGACCACATGCCCTGAATATCATATCACAATGTACTGTCGTCATATGACTGGCTATGTAGAGAATGAAAAATTAGTGATCCACTGTTTCCAAGATAGTTGATCTGGGTCTGCATCCAAATGGTATAATCAGCTCAAATGTACTCAAATACGTTCTTGGATGGATTTAGCTCAAGCCTTTTTGGGTCAATACAAGCACATGGCTGATATGGCCCCTGATCGAGCAATGTTGCAAAACATGAATATAAAGTGCAATGAAAGTTTTCGACAGTATTCACAACGATGGAGTGGCGTCACTTTTCAAGTGCATCCACCATTAACTGAAAGGGAGTTCACTACTTTGTTCATCAGTACATTAAAATTTCCCTATATTAATCACATGATAGGGGATGCCACTAATAATTTCTCTGACATCGTCATGATTGGAGAAATGATTGAAATAACTATCAAGAATGGCAAGATAAACGGCTCTGACGATACTGACGTCGAGAAAGAAGTTAAGGTTAATATAATGAGGTCTTATTCAGTTAAACATGGTGCCAAACCCTATAAAATGGTCAATAAGAAAAAGAATGTACAGGGTTTTTAATTTCCTCCCTTCCATTGCTCGAGTGAAAAACTGCATTAAAAAATGCTCTCAGCCAGATTAACTACTCCACGACTTATTCCACCACAGCGGCATCCAAATGAGAATTGGACCTATAAGGAGGTTCCTTGGATAAATCATACTAGAATTTCAAATTGTTCAGCTAAGGTTCCTGGTAACCTTGAGGGAAATTTCCAAGATCCTTTAGAGCAAGCAATTCAAAAATATAAGGTAAAAGAAGGGGTGAAGGTTCAATGTTCAGAAATTGTTGCTTCAACAGAGACTAATGTGACCAAATCCTGCAAAGAATATCGGGTGCAAGAAAATCAAAAGACTTCCATGGATGTAATTCGAGATTGGCTCATAGGTCTAAGAAAGAATGGAGCAGAAATAACCCAGAAGACACCTGAGATACCTATATCATATTTTCTGAAAACTAGTAAGGCAAGGGGCAACTTAAGGATTCTGGTTAATAATACCCCAGTTGTAGCTGAAATGAGCTTCCAGAACCCCCTCGATCACAGGAGAGCATTTA